CAGAAAGAGAAATTAGGAAAAGTACCCCATTAACAATAGCCTAAAAAATACTTGGGAATCAATCTAACAAAAAATGTTAAAAGACCTGTACAATGAAGAAGACCTTAGAAGATGGAAAGATTTCCCATGTTCTTAGATAGGAAGAATTAATATTGTCAAAATGGCCATATTACCAGAAGTGTTATACAGACTTAATGCAATTACAATTAAAATCCCAACAACATTCCTCATAGAAATAGAAAAAGCAATTATGACACTCATTTGGAAAAAAAATAAGAAACCCAGAGTAATCAAAGGAATCCTTAGCAAGAAGAGTGAAGCAGGAGGCATCACAATACCAGATATTAAAATATATTACAGAGATATAGTAAACAAAATGGCATGGTATTGGCACCAATATAGACATGTAGACCAATTGTACAAATTAGAAGACCCAGAAACAAACCCACAAGAATACAGTTATGTCATATTAGAGAAAGGTCCCAAAAACATACATTAGAGAAAAGATAACCTCTTCAAAAAATGGTTCTGGGAAAACTGGAAATATATATGCAGCAAAATTAAAATAAACTCATATCTCTCACCATCTACAAAGCTCAATTCAAAGGGGATCAAGGACCTAGGAATTATCCCAGAGACCCTGAGCCTAATAGAAGAAAACCTAGGTCCAAACCATCATCATGTCAAATTCAGTCCTGACTTCATTAAGCAGATTCCTAAAGTGCAAGAAATAAATGAAGAATTATTAAATAGGATATATTTAAACTAAAAAGTTTCTTGTCAGCAAAGGAAACAATCAATAAAGTAAAGAAAATATTTTTTTTATTAAGCTAAGACCATTATCTCTTCACAAGTGGTAAAGGTGATGGAACAACTTTAAAAATTTCCATTGTGATGAATGAATAAGTAATAGGATACCCTTGGGAGAAACCCACCATTCTGTATGATCTAGTGGGTATCCTGTATTAACAGCCTGTTGAGTCTCCTCTGTCAAATGTTGATGGCTTTTGGAAGACATTTTCCCCCCATAGGAGCAGAGCAACTTATTTTCTTATTTCCTTTATCTATTGTGTTCTCTCCCTTCTGATGTCTAAGAACATAGATAACTGCTTCACGGGATGGCAGGGAAATTGCTTCTGGGAGATAAAGAATCTTCCTGGTGTTTTTAACAGGAGTAGTAGCAGTAGTGAATAATCCTTGTTCCTTCCAGATAGGTGCATGAACATGATGTATATGAAAGATATACTTGGAATCAGTATTTATGTTGAATCCTTTATTAAAAAGTTCCAGTTCTAGGTGGGAGAAACTAGTTTCACCAGGTGGTGCTGGTATTGGTGAAAAGTGTTTCTTATTCAAGAACCTAAAAATCTGTTACCACTGAGTATCCTGACCACTCAATTCCATCAATCACTGATGCATTCCCATTGGTGTACAGGGTAAGATCAGGCTTATCTATACCATGATCAGATAAATAACATCTGGCAGCATAAATTTCCAATAAAAGAGAATCTGATAATTCTTTAAGGAAATTTCAGTTCCTTCCAACAAAAGGTCCTGATGTTTGTGTATATGGCTATCTATTAACCAAAGACTACTTATAGAAATTAGGATTTTTGCTATGTTGTGGGAGGTAAGTACAGTCAGAAACCCTCCCAGAGTAAGTTTGTGTGCCTCAGGGACGGAGTCCCTGTGCAATCACAGCTCTAATACATTCGAGGCCAGCCCTTGGTGACTTTGTCCAAATCTTTACATAGGTAACCTACAGACTGAGGAGTGCCCCCCAACAATTGAGTAACTATTTTCAGCACCACTCCCTTATTTTCTGTTGCATATAATTGAAAGATTTCCTGAGTAGGTAGACTCAAAGCAGGTGCCTGGTGAGTTATATTTGTAATGTATTGAAGGTCTTTTCTTGCCTCTGGAATCTAGTTAAGAATTGGCCTGTGAAAGTCCCCATGCTTCCTAAAAGCATTCATAATAGGGTTATACACTTTCAGCATATCCAGGGATCCAAATGCTACAGTAGCCAGTTCCCTGAAAAGTGCTGAGTTTGACTGTCTGACGAAAGGGACATGCGTGTATGGGTGGAATATTTTCTGGGCCACAATTTTGAGTTTCGCATTCCACTATTATTCCCAAGTAGGTAACCTGGGGTAGGCACATTTGAGCCTTCTTTTAGGATACTTTATATCCCTCGTTAGCCAGGAAATTGGGAAGAGAGCCAGTCCCTTCAAGGATAAAATTTTTGAAGTTCTACATAAGAGAAGGCCACTACATATTGAAATAATACAGTTTTACTTGTTTAAACACTGTTTAACAACCCATGAGGTCCTGTACCAATATTCCCAACAGATGAGGGCTCTCAATGAATCCCTTGGGGAAGGACTGTCCAAGCAACCTGTCTACCCTTAGAGATATAAATCTCATAGGTAAATAGTGGCTGGTTCCTTGGATGCAGAAGAATACAGAAAAAAAATGCATTCGTTAAGTTCAGGACATTATGATAAGCAGCTGCCTCAGGGATCTGCGTTGGGGGAGCATATGGATTTGGAACCACAGAGTTTAGAGGAACCATTGCATTAATGATTATATGAAGATGCTAAACTAACCTCAATTTATGGAGGCCCTATGGGATCCCAAATATAGGAGAATTATAAGGGCTAAAGCATTCTACCAAAAGTTCAATCATTTTAAACTCCCTTTCTAGCTTTAGACTTTCAGGGACACTATTGTTGGTAAGAAAATTTGGAAGAATTCTTGAGATGGATTTCAACAGGGGTTGCAGTTGTGCTCTTCCCACTGTATTGTTATTTGACCAAACCGTGGGGTCCACCTCTGTGTTTTTAAAGTTAGGTGGCTCTATTCCACAGTTGGCAACAACAACTTGACCCTTAATTGAGATAATAGGTCACTTCCTAGGAGAGGGGTTGGGGCCTGTGGCAAACTGAGAAGAGCAACAAAGGGGAAAATCCTTCCATTAACAAGCAAGAGGTCCAGTAAAACACTGCTCAAGAAACCAGCCCAAGATGCCCAGAATGGTCACTTGTGAAACGGAAAGTCTGAGCTCGGTCTGGGATGTTGTACAAAATCCTGAATATTTTGTGATGATTACTAGATGTAAATTTAAATTCAGGTATCTGAGTAGCTAAGCTTTTGTCCAAGGTGATTTCATTATTGTGGAACAACTCTGCCAATATTTGGGTTGCCTGCATTAACTTTCATGTTCCCCGATAATTCTACTAGTATACTCATAACATTGAGCAACCACTTCCTGTTTTCTCTCACTTTCTGCTCAACTGCAGACACCTTTGGGAGAAGGGGTCATCTTCTTCAGCATGATGCAACCACCCCCACCAGTGACTTTCATAGATCCTGGCACAAGGAAGTGGTCAGATATTTGTTGAATGAGTAATCTCACAGTTTGTACTCAAATGGCTTGAGGATATTTACCCACAATTAATGATTCAGTACTCATTCTCCAAAATGCAATGTGGTGTGAAACTGCCTCAACATCTAAACAACAAACATATTTTGATTTTTCTACTGATATTCCAAAGTCATTCACCTGAAAAATAAAATTTTATAGTTTTGTTGTTGTTGTTGTTGTTTTCAAACTTACTAACAGCCTTCCCCTACTCCATGTCAAACCTGGGCCCTGCCTGCTGCCCACCAGCACCACCACCTGTCCAAATGAAAGCCAGGAACGGTGTGCCATTTCCCAGTTGGAACGTCTCTATTACCCCTGAAGGTGCTCTGACCTTCACCCGCTCAGCCTCTCAAGGGTACTAAAAAAGCCAGCTGGATGAAGCCCCACCAGGGAGCAGAGATGGAAACTCTGGACTAGATGTTTTTCTTCAGGTCTGCATGTTAGGCACAATAAAAGTTATGACTGCTGCTGTGACCACTTTTGATACTGAAATGGTCTGAGATAAAATCACTTAAAAGGAAAAATAAAAGTCAGTATTATCTGTTTCCCGAGGGCCCATTTTTGACATGTACTGTTGTTTTGTTCACTTGCCTTCTTTTCTTTTTCTAATAGTGGTCTGAAAGTAGTAAGTGTGGGTACTTGGGACTGCCTTTAATCACAGAGCTGTTTTGTTTCACACTTAGTGCTCAAATTGTGGGGCAAGGGAGGAGCAGGAAAATGATGATGATAAGTGATCAAGTGATTTCTTTTCCCTGAACTGTGCTAATATTTTAAAATATCCAGAGGAATTCAATAGCTATGCCAAATTAATTTAAAATTCATGATTTAATAATGGTAAACCTGTTCTTTCAGGGTTTTTTCATATTTATTTTTAGTTGTAGTTAGATACAATACCACTCATTACTTTATTTTTATGTGGTGCTAAGGATCAAACCCAAGGCCTCGCCCTTGCTAGGCTAACTTTCTACCACTGAGCCACAACCCCAGCCCCTGTCAGTTTTGTTTTGTTTTTGCTAAAATTGTTTCTGCAAGAGAAGCAAAAGGAAATTACAAACTACAGTCTTCTCCATACAATTATGTAATAATGAGGTGGCCCGCTTTAAGAAAAATCAGACAACATTGATAACAGTTGAAAGCAAGATGAAATGATTTATTGAGAAATTGACCACTTGTCAGATAGTCTTTAATATTTTATAATTATTTTCATGCTGTTCAATTTAAAATGAAAGCCATTTTCTAAAGAGTTCAACTAATTCAACAGGGAATTCAGAATACTAACTGTGGTCCTGGCCATCAGAAATTATATGTTCAGAGTTGGGTGCTAGCATGTATACTGAAACTTTGGAGACAGATGCTGCTAAGATGGTATTTAGAAATACACAGATCTTGTAGATTAATCCTCAAATCTTGGGTAAAGGGTCATGTATTTTTCTCATGGCAAGTCCAATATTGAATGTCTATTTTTCTAACGTGCCCTTTGGAGACTAGGTCACACCAAAGGGCATCATCATCTCCTCAAAGGGACTTCACCTGCAGCACAGGCCAGGTAGTCCCTGAAGAGAGATCCAAGCCGCTACTCGGCCTGGGCTGCAGAGGAGGCATCTGGGACGTCAGGGTCCTCCTTCTCAGCAACGCTGCTCTTCTTATCCACAATAGCACAAACAGGAGTTTCAGCTGGACCCATCCCAGGGTTCTTACCCTCTTTCTCCTGAAGGTCTTGGCCCTCAGTGCCGTGTGCCTTCTGGGGATGACGGATCGGGTTGTTGGGACGCTGGGATCCATAGCGTGGTGGTGGCCTCTGCTGAGGGCCACCTGTTTTGCGCCTGCTTTCCTTATTTTCTGCCTCCAGGTCCTCAGAGATGACCGGTGAGGTTCCTGGCCCCTGAGGCATTCCTCTGCCCCTGGGTCGACTCAGCAAGTAGCTGGGGCCCAGCCCCCTCCTTGATGTGACCTCAGGCTTTGAGGCTGGTACTGACCAGGCCAGGTGAGAGGCCCACGGGCCGTGGGGACGAGGGAGGAGTGATGGACGGAGGGCCAGGACCTGCGGCCTGCGGAAGGGTGGGAAACACCACAATGATCGATCTTGAGGTCGACTGGGAAGATAGCGCCACCGGGCCTGGGCTACTGTGAAGCATGCGGTGAAGCCCGCGCAGCTGTCCTCGCCTTCATCCAGATGGTCCTTGGCATCCTGGGATCTTCCCGGTGGTGGCTCCCGGTGATTAATGTAGCAGCCTGGGCGGAAGCGGGGACGGTTAGCTGCATAGCGGCTGCCCTCCACTGGAGCGCCCGCGGGTCCAGTAACGTTAGCCGCCTTGGTGCCCCGCTCACCTTGCACTACATCGAACTCAACCGTCTCTCCATCGCCCACGCTGCGTTGATACTTGTGAGGATTGTTCCGGGTGATGGCAGTTTGGTGAACAAACACATCTTCCTGAGTATCATGCCTGCTGATGAAGCCATACCCATTCTTCACATTAAACCACTTGACTGAGCCTCGCACCCTCTTGGCGATGACTTTCTTGGGAGCCTTTCCCTCGGTGCCCCCTGCCACAGCGGCCTTAGTGATCGGGTCCCCGCTGAGGGTGCCGGTGACTAGGGCCCCTGGAGGATCTCCGCTTCCCAGTGATATGAGTTGTTTCTGTGCGGCTTGGGGAGAGATTGAAGCGGCCATCTCTGTGGAGGTGCCCTCTCCAGCTTCATTCATGAGGCCATCTTTGCTCTCTTTTCTCAAGAGAATCTGGGGGGAAATTGGGCCCTTGGGAGCTAAGGGAAGGGGTACCTTCCTGAGGCGAGGGCTGGCCAAGGGAAAGGACTCTCTGGCTTCACCCTGAGGCTATTGGAGAGGCCTGTAGTGTCTCCCAGGGAAACAAGAAGTAGACCAAACAGTGGCTGCTGATGACGTCTCAATGGGGGAATACTAGGAGCTCCAGCTGGTGGGGGAGGGGAAGATGTACTCCTCCCCTTGCTCCCAGCCCCAAGACAAAGCACAGCTAAATCCCTTTTGGGGGTGCAAAAGATTTGATTCTCCAGGTAGAGGTCTCTTTGAAGGTCCTCTTGCTTCCCTGAGCAGATGTGAAGAAATGACCCAACATCCATCTCTCAGGCCCAGTTGAGGAAATTCAGTCTCCTGAGGGCCCTCTCTAAAGATCTCCACAAAACCCTTGCCTTCTTCCAACCCCTTTTGTTCTCAACCACCCGAGTGAGGAATTTTATGTAACTTCAGACATAATGACAAAGGCATGACATTAAGACCCAGAGAGAGAGTGAAAAGACCCATGTGTGTGTGCACACGCGTGCGCTTCTGTGTTTCCTTCAGAGGAACACTGAAAGCCTGACAGGGATTGAATTCTTGTACTGAGAGAACAATAAACTCCCCCAGGTAAAGAATACCTCAGACTAGCTTTAGGTTGCAAAGCTGAGTGGAAACACCTTTGTACCTGGATTATTCTGAAAACTCTATCGGGCTCTGTGCTTCTGCCCACAGCCAGCTAGAAAACAAATCCTGTCATAGATTGAGGAGCATTTTTTTTTTTTTTTTACCATGGTGGTGTAATGAAAAATGGAAGAAAGGGATCTTGGTTTCAATTTTACTGTTCAAAACACATTTATTCACACTTCATATCTTAAAGTTTTTACAACACACATGAATGTGCAACAGCTGCTAACATGGCAACATGTATCTTGGATATGTAAAGTCAATGATAAAGTAGAGTGAAAAAACAACTGAGGTAATTTTCACTTATGCCTGACTGCAGATCTAAACCTTATTTTTTAACAGCTTATTGATTCTGTGATCTTCTAAGTTAAAATTCTGATTTATTTTTTAGGCAAAGACCTTAAGAAACCAGCCTCACTGCTGAGCTGATAGTGTGTTAGAGCATAGCTAGATCTCTGAAATACGACGTTTTTTCATGTGATGACAGGGCACGCTAACATAGTAGCTGGCCAAATAACCCAGGGTTATTTTAATAAGAAGAAAAATAAAATAATTTGTCCTATCACTTTAGCATTTACATGATCCCCTCATGTGTTGTGCATATGATCTAACCCTCTCTACAAGCAGGTGGAACAGGTGCCATTTTAGTTCAATTTAGGAGGTGAGGGGTCAGGGACCCTAAGACAGGAAATTGCTTGCATAAGTTCAGATGTTTATTATAGTGTGAACCCCAAAATCTCATCTCAGGTTTCACTCCAGGTCCAGGTCTACTTCAACAGTACCCCTTTGGTCTTCATGAACAGTTTTATCACCTGTCTCTTATGATGTCAGAGATCAGGAACCTCTTTCACAGAAGCCATGATCCCATACATCCCAACATTCCTGCCAAGATCCACCACTTGCAGGAATGACCAGCCTAGTCCCCTCAACGATGAGGCAAACGTCACCCTCATATCAATTAACCAGAACCCTCTGTCCTGCCACATGGTGACCTTCTGCCTGGAGTTGACACAAAAGCAAAACCTGCTGTAGATTGAGGAAATTCTTGTTCACCATGGTGGTGTAATAAAAAATGGAAGGCAGAGGTTTGGGTTTGGAATTTACTGTTTAAAATATATTTCTTCAGGCATCATCTCTTGAGGATTTTACAACATGCACGAGAATACAACAGATGTTCACGTGACAACAAGTAAGCCAGGGCACAAAGCACCTAAGTGGCCCAACCGAGACCATTCACTTCATAAGTGAAGAGACAACAGAATCCCTTGGGCCTTCTGCTCTGTTTCCCAGTTCACTGTATCCTCCAGCATCTCATGAAGTTCGTTCCTGTGATGTCACCAATGGGTCTTTCTTTCATGTCCACTTTGCTGTTGTCCTTTCCACATATGCCACACTCATGGGCATTTCTCTGCTGTGTTCGTTTTCCATCATTCTTCTTCCAGCTCTCTGCATAAATCCCACCAACCCGTCTATTTCTACTTTTGGAATCCCTTGCCACCCCCTTTCCATATGCACCAGTACACCTTGATCTCCTTCAAGCCTAGTTGTACTTATGGATCAATGTCAAATGACTTTCTAATTTTCCTCTACCACATTCCTATGTGTAAAGCTTCATTTCACTATTAGTCCCAACGAGGTTCTAAGCTCACCAAAACTCAAAAAGGAGAAAACACTTTAAGTTTCTTCTCCCTGTCTCCTCTCTGAGAACCCTGATGCCTGGAACACTGCTTGATGGAGGAAAGACCACCATGAACACATGCTGATGAATGAAATCTATGCCTTGTTAGTTCACTGGGAATGACTACATCCTAATCTCGTCTTCCTTAAGTTCCTCACATCGTGCTAGGCACAAATCAGAGGCTCACTAGATTCAACAAGTTGGACTGAATATGTTCTACTGAATTGCTTTAAGAAATATACAGAAAATGCTTCGGAGTCATCAAGGAGGGCTATTAAACTTTCCTGGTGCTTTTATTCTATGCACGAAGAAAAGCTCAGTGGAAAAAAATAGCATCGATACAATATGAATTAGTAGTTCAAGGTAAAATATTCAAAGGCCACTGCATTGTCTTTTTCATTTTAACCATCAGCTTCTCTCTGTCCCTGTTGTTTCCTTTTGTACTTTTATCGACGCATCCATTGAAGCACACAGTTTTGTTGTCATCAGCCAAGAGTCATCAATGAAACAGAGGTCAACCAAAGTTTAAGTATACCATCTGATCCATGGGCTTCTCATTTAAAAACGAAACCCTTCCCTGTAGCTTCAGTCGCAAAACAGTGCTGACTCTGAGGCATCAGATTCCATTCAGGCCTTCATAAAAGGTGACAGCATTATCTAATGTAAGGAGTAAAATCTGTCAGCCTTGTGAGTACAAGGAAGGTCCGAAGCCCTTCTTCTGACTGATTCACAGGTGGCTCCCACGTGATGGGAGATCAACACAATTCATCTTGCTCCTTCTAGAGCTGTATGATCGATCCCAGTGTCCCTTAAGTTGTGTTAACTATCGAAGGTAATGGAAATGAAATAGAATGCAAGTGGAAGAGCAATCTAGAAAACTGTAGAAAAACGCTCATGTCCCCCATCCCCACCCCGACACCTTGCAAATTATACATCAGAAAAGGCAGTGCTACTCTGGATACTTTGAATGTAAGTGGTTCAGGCATAGTTGTAATTCCAATATTCAGGGCACTCTCCACTGAAATTTCAAAGATTTGATGGAGACAGTAGTCTTAGATCAGAAGGCTTGAGTTTCACTCCTGGGCCAGCCAGCAAAATGATGGTTGCTCAGCATTGAGTACATCACCTCATCTCTCTTAATGTAGACTTCTCATGTATAAAAGGGACATGACAATATGAATTCATAGGATGTAGACAGCAATTATGTAGAAGACATTATGTGAAAAATATATCATAGTAAACCACAAGTCCTGAAAAATTGTATGAGTCAACTCATCCGGGCTGCAGTGTGGATGCATGGGCAAACATCCTTGTGGATTTTTCTATGAAGGTGCTTTGGGATGAAAATAACTGTGAACCATGGTCGGTGAGTAAAGCATATTGTTCTCCACAATGTAAATGGGACTCTTCTGTGAGTTGAAGGCTTGGAGAGACTAAAACCTGGACCATACACAAGAAGCAAGAGGGAATTCTTCAGGAGATATACTTCTTATGTCTGGAAATGAAGCAGCGGTTACCCCTTGGAACTCCAGGCTGCCCTGCCACCTTACAGATGCCTGCAGATTTTGGATTCAGCACCTTGCATAATGGTGTGTGCCAACTCTTTGAATTGCAGAGATATATATTCATGGCCTCTGTGTCTCTGGACAACAATGCATAATAAGATATTGGCACCAGGAATAGTTCCAGAGAATGGGATCTTAAGCACAAGTTCTCAGAATGGTTTCTGAGTGCCTAGTGAGCTGCAGAAATGGACACTGAGTGGCCAATGTGATAGACAAAGCGAGTCCCCATGGTGATCATTCAAAGTACCTGGCTGCAGGTTGCTTACATCAACCACTGCCATAGATTCGAGGGAAGAAGGGAAGTGTCTTGTTCTTATTAAAATAGACCCTCACTCTGAATGTGAATTTGCCTTCTCTGTACAAAGTGCTTTTTTTCAACATTGGCATCCTTGTCAATACGCCATGTCTTAGGCACCATTTATTTATTAGTTCTTTATAGTTATACATGACAGTAGAATTCATTTTGACAAAATTTCACAAGCATGAAATATGTCTTATTCTTGTTAGGACCCCATTCTTTTGTATGCACATGATGGTGGGATTCACTATGCCCCATTATTCGCATAAGTGCTTAGGAAAATTATTTTTGTATTTATTCCACTGTCTTTCCTTTTCCTCTCCCCCTACCTTACCTTCATGTCCCTTTGTCTAATATATTGAATGTCTCTTCTTCCCTTCTCCCCTCTTATAGTGGGTTAGCTTCCACACATCAGCACAAACACCAGACTTTGGTTTGGGGGGACTGGCTTATTTCACTTAGCATGACGGTTTCCAGGTACATCCATTTACTCGAAAAGGTCATAAATGCACTCTTCTTTATGATTGAGTAATATCCCATTGTTTATATCTATTTGCATCCATCTGTTGATGGGCAGCTAGGTTGGTTCCATAGCTTGGCTATTGTAAACTGTGCTACTATAAATATCGTTGTGGCTGCATCACTGTCATATGCTGATTTAAAATATTTTGTGTATAAAACAAGGAGAGGGGATTGTTAGGTCAAATGTTGGTTTCATTCCTAGTTT